ATCATTGAGGATCTGTCGTACGATGTTAATGATCCTTATCATTATCCGGTTATTCGGGTGCTGGTGAGTGGTTATGCTTTGTTTGGGATGTGCTGGGATTATGCTAACGATATGCTCAGCTGGTTTTGAACGAGCAGTTCATGATTTCCGCGCATGATCCGGTCGATGAGAATACGTCCAATGGCTTGACGAACAAGATCATCAAGATTCTGGCCATGCACGGCAACCTCTACAAGACTTTTGGGGAGAATATTATCCTTCTGATTAATCGTGAAGGTTAGTCGTCCCAAGCGCAATGGGTGGAAGGTTCTAACTCCTGCAGCCGAGACATCGCTCCAGCTTCTGACGCTCAAGCTCTTATACCTCATCTTCACTACCCCGACCACCTACGAATACTTTTTTACCAATGATCTTCACGTACTGGTCGACATCCTCATTCGAAACCTTCTGGACCTGCCCGAAGAGGCGTCCGCTCTCCGACACACATATTTGCGTGTTCTCTACCCACTACTGGCACATACACAGCTCAAGTATCCACCGTTCTACAAGAGGGAGGAGCTCAAGCGGGTGCTCAGACTGCTTGTTCACGGTCAGCTCTCCGAGAGTGGGCCTGACCGGGAGAAGATAATGCACTTCGACGATGTGGATGAGACAACACGAAGGCTGGTTCTTCGATGCGCAGCTGTTGAATGGCTTCGAGACCCTGAGCCAGAAAAGCCAGTTCACAATGAAGATACCACGCCCACGGATAGTGTACCTCCTGATGCTGAATTCGGGGAACCATTGGAAACCTCTCGGACCCTCTCCCCCACGAGCACGGTCGACAGCTCTCCTGAGAACATGTCGCCCACGAGACTCGACGGTCCAGACTCCAGCACGTCAAGCATGGCTGCGCATCACAGGCTCAACCAAGCGCAACGAATCGGCATGCACCTTGAGCACGCATCATCCTCCAGCCTCAGCGTCCAAGAAGTAGCATCCCAGCATGTGAAGCCTGGCATCATAACACCCAGCCGCAACGATACCCGTGCTGCCATTGATAGCCCAACGAGTCCATCAAAGCTGCTGGGCAAGCCCAAAGTCAAGCCTCCGCCTCCGAGACAAAGACGTTGGCGCGGCCGGCGAGACGACGACCATGGACAAACTGACAAGATCCCCGAAGACGCCGAATCTCAACACACAAGCCCAATCATTCCACCCGCAACCCTCGTCACCGCCAACATCGCCAGCGAGCGCACTAATTCCACCGGCATCGTCCCACCCCCCGTCCCCAGTCACTCACGCCGCTCAGCCTCCAACCCACCTCCAGCTGTCCCTCCACCCCGACGCTCAACAGTTCCCCACCTCCACGCAGGCCATGGAGGAGTAGGTCACCTTCCTGTCCCAGTCACGAGCCACTGCACTCCGCTTGCCAGTCCTTCTCGACCTGCACAGCAACAACAGCAACAGCATCACCACAGCGTCAGCAGCCCCAGCACATCCACCACTGCACCATCACCTACCCCGCCAGCCGCCACCCCTGTTACTCAAAAACACACCCAGAAACCCGAACGCCCTCAAACTCGCCGTCGCGGCCGCACAAGGACCGGCCAGGCTGACTTGACTTATAAACCCCCTCCCGTGCCGGATTTACCGGCGGAGCATCTGGAGAAAGCCCAGCAGCATAGCCACACAGATAGCGAACCCAAGACCAACGCCACCGTGAGTGTCGAGGAAGCGGTGCAGAACGTCAGTCTTGAGTAGCCAGCTGCACGGGGTATTTCCATTGGGAGTAGCATATCACATTACAGCATCATAGCATAGCAAGCATACACCATTTCAGTTTACTATAATCTGCATGCAATGCAGCGGCATAATGCAAAGCATCTAATTGATTGTCACTACTTACTACCCTCCTTTGCTCTCAATGTCAAGCATAAGCATACAACCACCGAACCCACAATAATCCAAATTAACTCAGCATCTCAAGTGGAGAACATCATTAATCAAACTAACGACCTCAAAGCGACCTCATAATCCTATTTATTCTCATGTATTAAACACACGAATGAGCGCCACAACTCCTCAGTATACTACCTAGGTTAGCTAGCTATACTCCCCCCCCCCCCCCTAAAACATAGAATCAATACCAATACCACAAACACAATAATACAAACAATACCAAACCCAATAATACATACCACCTCATTCAAAACGCAAAATACTAGTCTTGCTTAATGATACAATACAGCTGAAACAAAATACTAAATCTGGTGGCAAGACTACTTACTAGAACTAGACTAAACTAGAACAGAATAGAATGGATAAGACTAGCTCCATTCTCGGACATGTAACGTACTTTTCGCAACGGGCGTTGTGGGAAGGGAAGATTACCGAGATCGGGATTAGTTTGGATCTTGTTTTCCTGGGCGTACCGGAAGCTCTGGTTTTGCTGGTGGGTGGAGGTCGGGTGGCTCCCGAGAAAGATTGAGAAGTAGGTACGTACGTGGTTGATGACGACGACGACGATGATGGGGCCCAGTTACTAAGTAGTTACTAGGTAGTTTTCGGTTTAGTGGGATTGCAGCAGAGCTGTTCTTGGACTTATCAGACGTGGGTTTTACTGGCATAGGATTGTGGAATGGTATGATATGATGTTCAGCAATAGATGACACCAAAGTCATCAGTCAATTCAAATAACTGTCAAATATGCACAAGACACTGTGTGAGACATAACCAATTATTCACAAGACTTGTGTAAATGGACAGAAGAAAGAACTTAACATGTAGAAGAAAAAGAAACAAAACAATAGGATCATCACACGGGCATACCAACTGACAAAGCTCTCGAAACAATCACGACCAGCGCGATCTAATCCGAAAGCATATCATATCTATGTATAGAATGTCAGAAGGGTACTGCCCATGATGATCAGCCGCCCAACACCAGATGGACGTAAGTGGAGCAGATCAAAATGCCAATCGTCAGCGTTGATTGATGCCCCAGAACTTCTCCGCTCCAAAAGTACCAGGGGAGTCTTGCTTCCACAGATCATCAAAGGCAGTAAATAGAATCAATTCATTATCGCCCGTGAATGTCTGCTGCAAGCTGGCAATTGCCTTTTGTTGGTTCTGCGAAGACGGTACAGCCTTGCCATTGGGCTGACCGTTATGTGGCCATCCTGACTCGCTAATAAGCGTTTTTTTACCGCGGGCCGCTTTGGAGATCTTATTGGCTTGGTCTTTGACGTACTGGCCGGCTTTATCAGCGGTGTTGTTGTTATCGAAGAAGGCATGGCAGTTGGCAGCACAGTAATCGGACGCTTGGCAGAGCTCGGGATGTTGGATCAGGACTGAGAAGGTATCCACCGTTACCACGGGTCCTTGGTATCCTGCTGCGCGGAGCTTGTTGCGTGCTGTGTTTACTGCGTTGGTGACATCGGTAATCGAGTTCTTACCATCGTTGACTAATTCGTTGCCGATATTGATGGTGTGGAAGACGGACCAGTCTCCGTTGGCAGCCCCGGTGATGTAGTCAAGACTAGATGGGAAGTTCTGCAGGTCGAAGACACCGGCAAAGACTTTCAGGTTGCGTTGTCGCGCGGCTTTGGCAACCTTGCTCGTCTGGTCACAGTCTACGCCGTAGATCCGGACGAACCCGTACTGCCCCAGCTTGTCCAGGTCTTGGTTGACTTGGTCTTGGGTCTTGCAGCTGCCATCGCTGTTATACGGAGAGTAGGAGATGCCAAAGCGACGGTAATTTCCTGTCTTTGGGTGCTTGGTAGATTCAGGAAGTGGGACGGCGGGGGAGAGATCCGAATCATCATCGAGAGTCGGTAACAGTGGTGGAAGAGTTGCAGGCGACTATCTTGTCAGCCCAGACCCTAACTTGAGGCCCAAAGCAGTGCTCTTGGTAACACTTACGCTGTCTGCCGTTGCAGTTGGGTTTGAATTGCCGCCGCCCACGACGTTGTTGGCAAGAGCATTTCCAGCTTGGTCTACCCACACAATCACATCACCTCCTGGAAGATCACCCAGAGGGCCAAGATCGCGCTTTTTGCCATGGTCGTCTACAATCTCAGTCAATCGGTAGGTCAGGCACTCGTAGTCTCAGGGGCATACCATAGGGAAGTGCGCGGACAACATAGCTGAGCAGCAACACAACGAGGAGGTACAAAAGACGTCTCATTGCTGGTGTAACGCAAACTCGTTGCTACTGTATTGACAAAGTTGACTTTGAGAACAGTCTTTTATCGTTCAATCCACGTGGTGATTTGAGCAAAGATCCTACCGTCAAGCGCACCAGGAAATAACGGTCAGACACAGAGCAGAAAACACAGGTTTTGTTCAAAGACGCCGTTCAGCCAAGTGCATCTCCTGGGATTCACTCTGGCATAGAGTGAAGACGCCTGCCCTTCATTCTGGAGCGCCATGGGTGAAGACAAGGGAGTGCCGCTATTCTGCTTCTAGGAAAACAAATGTTTAACTGGGTTGTTTTGGATGGAATGTTAATTTCGTATCTGCGCAGATCCCTTGGTCTCGAGAATGCGCCACGGCCTCGTCCAGGCCATTTGCCACAAAATCGAAACCCCGATCGATTCCACGGTGTAACCCGTGGCCCCTTGGTGCTCTTCCAGAGCCCTAGGTCGATGTTCTGCCCCTGTCATGACTCGACCATCAGTGAAGCGGATATCCCTGTACATCCCTTTCGTCGCGTTGAGATCCAAGACACAAATTGAATCACAAAATGCATTGATTGGACAAGAACACAAAATTAATATTAGAATGTAATGTCTATTAATGTTCACTGTGCCCAAGCACGCAAAGAGATAAAGGCTGAGATGGGCAAATAAGAATATCTGCACAGTAAAAATAGAGACCCGAGGCTTCAACAACCTCATATCACGCCTCAGGAAACGCATCTAGGTCGCATCAATCCACGGTGTAATATGTTATACAAGAAATAGTGTAGGGTGGTGTTCTATATCACCAACAGAAAGGGCAACGGCACGAATGGAAAGAAGGGTACAAGAAGCGTGTCATTGGAGCATTAATGTTCATGGCCACTTTCAGGATAGGCCGGGAATTGAGATACGAGAAAGAAAGGGAAAGAAAAGCCTTTACTTCCTCTTGCTTAGAACTTTCGTGATCGCGTGGCGGATGGTCGTTCCTGCTTTTTCAATCTCCTTTCTCGTCAATCCGATTGTCACGCAAACCTTCAAGGCAGGAGGAACAATCTGCTTCGGCTCGAAGTTATCCTGGAGAGTTTTCAGGCGACTGATGAGAACACCGTTTGCGAGACACTGTATCCAAAGCAGTCAGTTATCTTCCCCTATAAGCCATTTTGCCAAGCAGCACTCACCTCGTCAACAATATCTTGGAGCAAGAATTGCTGGTCGTCAAGAGACAGCTTCTTCGCAGCAACCACCTCAGGCTTCAACACCAGAATCATCATAGGGTTCTCGGGGGAACTGGTGCAGTAAACCCAATCACTGCGAGGGTCCAACTGGGCCCACATGGCCTTGGTATGCTCCCGCAGCTGTGTCACAGTCTCCGGGCTGTTCTGGAGGAGGTTGATCGTAGCACTAGCAGTGGTAGACAAAAGAGCGGGAAGTGCCGCAGAGAAAGTATAAGCAGCAGCCGAGATACGCTGATGATGGACGATCTCTTCCGAGCCAGCACAGAAGCCACCTCCGGCAATCAGTGGGCCGGCCAGCGAGCCCACAATCATATCAACTTCCGCCGCATCGACATTCTGGTGCTCAGTCACACCACGGCCAGTTCGCCCAAGAACACCAAAAGACCAAGTCTCATCGAGGATCAGACGGAACTTGTACTTGAGTTTGAGCTCGATCTGTAACCTAGTCAGCTAAATCCACAGACGAAACATATTGAGGATAAGCACTCACAATCTTAGGCAAATTCACCATGTCGCCGTAAGATTCAAACAGACCTTCGGTGATAATGAACCGCCTAGTAAGAGGCTTCCTGGCTTGTTCCTTGGTGACCTTTGCGAGGACTCTCTCCAAGTCTTCCATATCATTATGCTCATACCAGCGAACAATGCTGCGAGAGATCTGGATACCCTTGCGAATGGCGAAGCTGACACCCTTGTCCGCAACAATGATATCACCACGCTTTGAGAACGCAGGAATGACACTGGAGATTGTCGAAAAGGCTTGCGCATAGATGATGCAGGATGCAGTACCAAGATAAGAGGCAACATCAGCCTCCGTCTTCATATGAACATCCTGAGTACCATAGAAACCGCGGGGACCGCAAGGACCGACACCGTAGTTTCGCAGGGTCTGGATGGCCTTCTCCTTAAGCGACTCGTTCGTATTGAAGTTGTAGTAGTTATAGGAACCGAGATTGGCGACCGTCCGACCGTTGCTCAACTTGGACTTGGGTCCAACTGGGCTGCAAGTCACCAAAAGTCAGCATACCATCTCTGACAGGAGACAAACCAGGAAAGACAATACATACCCAACAATGACCGTCCGCTTATCAACCTCCATCGCCTCCAGTGGAGTAGGCTTTCCCACCAACGGCTCCGGAGTCCACTCATCCACCAAATCATCAACCTCATCCTCCGAAAGTTGAACCACACCCGGTTTAGTCGAATACTTCGGAGCGAGAAGGTAGCGGACCGCAAACAAGAAGAGAAAGAGTTCGACAGCCGAGCGGATCGGGTCGTTCTGGTAACTAGACTTCACATAACGTAGAAAGATCGCAGAACCGGGTAGACGATGGAAGAGGTCGGCGAGTTCATGGAGGTACTCCGAAAGGAGACGCTGAGTCTCCTGGATATCCATGACGGGAGAAAATCCACTTAGCGCTCAGGGCGCAAGTACCCAGGAAGCAGATGAGCGGAGTCTGAAGTTGAAATGAAGGAAAGACCCTCTATAAATAATTCGACAGCATCAGCGACTGAATAACAAGTCAAGGCAGCGGCATTCCCGGAGGTTCGAAGCAACGCGGCAAGTCCAACTTCCGGGATGGGCGCGGCCCTAACACGTGACTTGGCGCTCCTTGCAGGTCGGCTCCTTTCACAAAGCGTATCAAGCACTGAGCATCGAGAGGACCGTGAATATGCAGGTATACTCAAATTACAATACTTACAGAGTCAAGGAAACGTACTATACGTCTACGTAAGAGTGGGGTTGGACTGGAACAATTGGGATCTGAAACTCTCAAGACTCTTTGAATTCATAGTCAACAGGACTAGAGGCAAAGAAGCCCTCTAGATAAACACCAAGGAAATCAAAGGCAGCCGATGCAATGGGACGATACAAGAAAAGCTGGCAAGTCTAGTGACCATACATAAAGGACAGAACAACACCTTGACCATACAAAACAGTTGAAAGAGATTGAACCCATTAATGTTGGCAACTGAAGGAGCATACACGCAGTTTCGTCAAGGGAAAAAAAGGTGGAGACGAAAAAGAAAAATAAAAGGCAAAGGTATGAGACTCGGCAGCGACATCAAGACGCTGGTTACTTTATACAGCTCGTTTCCATGTTCCATTTCCGAAAAAGAAAGACAGGTAAAATGTATTGAAAAACAATTTAGGACAAAAACAACCTCTAAGCAGATGCAGACGCCGCGGACGGGGTCCAGGCGGAGTAACCGACAGGAAGACCATTACCAGTGTAACTGGAGATGGTATCGTTGTTGTCGGTATCCAGGGGCTGCATAAGACTCATGATGTTGAGGTTCACGCTGATGCCTTCATCGCGGGCAACCAGAGGAGCAATGAGAAGGATGAGGAACAGAACCAGCATAGTGAAATACAGGATCGCAAAGCGGACAACTCTTCTCTTGCGGAGCTTAGACTGCTTCAAAGAGTAGATGGGAGGGCGGATTTGACGACTGTTTGAATGTTAGTATAGAGGAAAACATAGGAATGAAGTGGAATCTGAACGTACCTAGGCCTCAGCCAGAAAAGGATGACGGAGTGGAACTTGTCGACGTATGGGATGCAGAGAGCAGGAAGCATGATGAAGAGGATAAGATGGCCCAGGACGAAGTCACCAGAGAAGTATCCGAGCTCGGTAATCTTACAGAGGAATTCTCTGCCAGGCTGGGAAAGCGAGTGCCAGCCCATGTTGTACCATTTTCCGGTCCACCAAGCAATGTTCGACTGGTCATGCTTGAACTCTCTGGTCAGGGCGAGGGAGATGATCAGCTTGTAGATGAAGCGCTGGATTGCAGCGGCAGCGATCATTCCCAGGACCATGCGAGGCCACGACCAGCTCTCGAGGAAGAACATGACTTCGAAGATGACAAGCAGAACGATGACCGCAATGGCGTGTGCAATGGCGGCGAGGACAGCACCGAACTTCTTGCAGCACATGCCGAAGATGGGACCCATACAGCAAGCCATACCGAAGAACATACCTGAGACACCCGCGTTGACACCAATGGGACCGAAAGCGACGATCGCAATACGAACCACGGCATTCGACGCGCGCGCGTTGTCGTTGGAGATACCAGTTCTCGAGTTGATGTAGAGGTAAGGAACCAGAGTTACAGCAACTTGGACGAGAGGAGCAATGATTTCACTGAAGAAAATGTTCGTGAACTTGGCCCTGGGAACATCGCCGGATCCCTTCTCTGAAGGAACACCAAGAAGCTTGCGCTTGTAACCTGTGAGACGGGTACGAGACAGGCGGCAGAAGGCAATCCAGGAGGAAGCATGCGAGCGCGAGTTACCACGAGACAGCCATCTGATGTAATCGCGGTAGTCGATGAAGAAGTCGTGCCAGGCAAACTGGTGGGGGTTGAAGAGGAAGGGTGAAATGCAGAGAGCAAGCAGAGAAACCCAGAACCAGATCAGGGCGGGCGTCCAGACAGTGGATGTCGCGAACAGAAGCATGAGCAGGGAACGAGCACCGGCATAGATTGACGGTCCGGCGAAACGAGAGTACAAGACACCGAATGGGATGCGAGCCGTAGCGAAACCACGCCCAGTACCAATGTAGCGAGCACCACCGAAGGACAAGTTCTGGTGGACAGCGTTGGCATAGATCTGGCAGACGAACACCTCGAACATGAAAGAGAAGGAACCAAAGTGCTTGGCCAAACGAGTAGCCATGCGCCAAAGACCTCTCTCAGTCAGTTCCTGGACAGCCAGGGGAACGAAGGAGATGAAGAACACAATGAAGATGGAGACGACACAGCGGTTCACCCAGCCGATAATGGGAGTGAGATCCGCACAGTAGGTGGGACGCAGAGGGTCAGTGATGGGCAGGTTGGAGTTGTAACGGCAGGTGATAGTCTCATGCTTCAGGGCACCAAGGTTGATCAGGACAATCATGAACATCTGCACAGACAACATGATGAACATGTTGTTGAGATGGAAACCAGGGTGAGCATAGTAGAAGGACAGGAAACGGTCGAGGGGCAGCTGTGTTCCGAGGTAGTAGTACTCTCTGGACAGCATCTGCTCACCCATACCAGTACCAATCTTGGTTGTGAAGTTCAGAATGGAGCCGAAACCCAAATCACGACCCTTACCGCACTGGAAGTACTCGCAGTGCTTGATGCGTCCACCACGGCACAGTGCAGTCATACCAGCATAAATATCCTCGTTCAGGTGGAGACCCTTTTGAGCCTTGGAGATACCACCACGCGTAGTCATGAAGATACCGTTCAGGAAATCAGGGTGACCATAGTGCAGCTTTCCACCAATCTGCGCAAGAGTACGAGCAAACAGGGTACCGAACGTCTGTTCCTTACTGGCAGCAACGTCACCAAGAACACCAACATTCTCGGAGAAAATGTATTCACGAGCACCGAGAATGGCGACGGGGGGCTCAGCCTCGGAGGCAATACCAGGGGTGTAGGGCGAGACATTGTCAGTGGTAAGTTCTTCGAACTCAGCCAGAACACTACGGATCTTGAGACACTCCTCCAGGTAGTTATCCTGGTTAGCGTCAATGACCTGGATGTATTCACCGCGGTAGAAGATGATAGAGTGGTTCTGGTTATCGGACTTGCCATCACCGAGGATAGGGTTTCCGGAGAGCTGGATTCGGAACTTGGGCTTGCGCATTCCGTTGTCAAGGAGCTCGCAGTGTCCATCAATCAAAGCCGAGTACAAGCGGGGCTCCTCACCCTCGTTAGCTGGCGGCTCCTCGTCAAGGTAAGCGATCTGGAGATCAGGGTAGGCACGCAGAAGGAACTCGGTGTTTTCACGCTCTTCCTTGTTGAACTTGGCATAACGCTGCATGGAGACGCAGATCTTGAACTTGCGACGAGCCATCCTCTCAAGTTCACGTTCGAGCTTCTCGGAGTTACCACCAAACATCTGGACAACCTCGGGGTTCTCAACGCGGTAAAGCAGCTTGATAGCCCTGCTGTAGTTCATGAAACCGGAAATGGTTCTGTACAGGGTCTGAGAGCGAAGGGAGGACCAGATACGGGTACGGAGCGTGTATTCGGGAGCAGCAGACTTGAAACCGATGCAGTAGAAGGGAAGGTCATCAATCTTGCTCTTCTGCGCATCCTTCTCATTCTTCTCAGGTTCGCCGTTGAATTGCGAGGTCTCATCAGCCAGAATCTTGGTGTCCTTGACGAAGCAGTCCCACTCGTGGGGATGAAGCTGTTTCAGGTATTCCAGCAGAGTAACACGAGAGTACGGCTCATCCTCACGGATAATTTCACGCAGCGACAGCAGGATCTTCTCGCCGTAGTGGGGGATAAGGACGGTGAAAGTGGGCATGTTGTCAACCGGGAGAGGCTCAGGCATGGGAGTAGCGACAGACTGGGCAAAGAAGGAGATACGACGTTCAGCCTCACTACCTGCGGGGAAGAACTCAGTCTTGAAGGACTGATCTTCCTGGGAAACGAAGAAGGTAGGAGCCCGCAGCGTACGCTTGCCCTCTTGTTCGGAGGGAACCTGGTGGTAAAGCAACTTCTGGACGTGATCAATAGCCAGCAAATGCTCACGGTACATGGAGATGATGATGGCGTTCCAAACTTGGGAGATGAGCACCTTGGGCTTGTACTTGATCTCCATGTCGGTCGTAGCCAACACCTTGGAGTAGATACGCTTCGGTAGGCGAGAGAAGATATTTCTCCAGGGCGACCAGATGGAGACACCGAGGTAGAAGGACCGCGCCACCGAGAAGATGGTGTTACAAATGACGTACCACAAGTAACTATCCAGGAAGAAGAGAGTCAAGTCCATGAACATCATCAGACCGAGAAGGATCTGAGGCTGAGCGTGGCAAAGCACGTTGGGGATGTAGGTCACACCAGCACACTGATGGATACGCATCGGGGACAAGATGCGCATGGGATCCTTCAATGACAAGGTCAGGAAGAAGTAGGACTCGACCAGCTTCGCACCAAAAACACAGATCCACAGACCATAGGACATCCACATGTCATTGCCATTCAAGCGTGGGTAGCTCGCTGTGAATGTTTGACTGGCCACATATTGACGGCCGTGCTTCTTCAGGTAACTGCCAAACAGACCTCCAAGAGGCATGACGGAGAAGAAGAAGAACGTGGCCAGAGCAATGAAGAAGTGGACGATACCAATGATCAGGCAAATTGTCTCACTGAGAACGTTGTTGAAGCCGAAGACCACAACACCAGGAGCAAGATTGACAATGAAGACGGCAATGAGGAACATTAGACGCTTGCTGAGATGCTGAGCACCTGCCCACCGGCGAGGCACATACATCCACTCACAGAGCGTTGCGCAGATCTGAATGAAACCAACCAGGGCACCACCAAAACCGACAGCAGACCAATACTTTGAACCAGCGGGCTTATTGTCCAGCTGCTGCTGGTAGTTCTTGGTGTACAGGGTGGGAGCGTTGTAAGCAGTGAAGAACCAGAAAGCACCCAGGTGAATTACCCAGATACGGTTGAAGTTGGTGATCATGTGGAACCAAGACCGAGTCTCTCTGTACGTCTTGAAGAATGCTTTCTTCCAGTC